CGTGCAGATATGAAGCGAATGACCAATTTTATGAGGTGGGGGAGGTGGGGGTGGCGTTAAACAGGAGAAACTCCCTTCACTGAGAGAAACTCCCCTTTTCTTTTTAATCGGGATTTTTAATGTCCACCTCAACATTGAGGCAGACGGGAGCTTGGCTTAACATCATATCGATTGAAAACGAAAATGGCAACCGGCCTCACTGATTAATTTTTACTCGATTGTAAAATTGTTACGAAAAAGGAATTCACCCGAATATTAACCCACAGGGTTACTGTGTAAACTAAGAGTTGCATCAGCTGCACTAACTGGCATTAAAGCTTCTCTCAAAATCCCACTCGCTGGTTATCAGAGGACTTCCAAAGACATCTTAATGTTGTAAGAATGAGGCCGAGTAACCAGCAGGTAGATTCCCTCATCAATCTGCTAACATAGCCAGCCAGCTTTTATCCTCTGATGGAAGGATGCAGTGTCACTTTGCAGCTGCTGTAAGAGAGTTTGCAAACATTCTCTCTGCCCTCAGGGCATTTTATCTTCAGCTGTCTGTTGTTCTGCAGCAGGGGTTAGGAGTCAAGTTCACGACTTCAATACGGAACCATTTCAGACGCAAATACGACCGGAGCGATCTTTCCCTTTAAAGAAAAACGATAAAACCAGCTCATCAAAACAGAGCCGAGTCCATTAATAAAACATTGAGAGTCTCGATTCCAATTATTAAGCCAATTAATTTGCATGATTCCATCACAGGCGTTTTACGGGTGGCTCAGCTTACATGCAGTGATTTACTATGCATGAAGGTGGAAAACAGTATTCTAACAGTTTTAACTATGCTCGGTTACACCTCCAAGATGATCCTGTGTTTAAGGGTTTTTTTTGTGCTAAAAGTTATATATCTCCGGGGGATATTTCTATCAGTCTTTACATCTGACTGGGGAAGCCAGTAAAAGTTGTCCATCTGTGAGGCTACAACCAGCATAATAATTCTTTTTAGGATGAATTCTACCCACAGAGCAGCATTGTGAATATGATGTTCCAAAGCACAGGGCTCTTAAATCAAGTTACAGTGCGCTAGATGGAGCAGTCCTGGATAACTAAGTGTTCTATCTCAGAGGGAGGAAAATTGATGCTGTTCATCTCGCTGCTTCAACTGGGCTGCCCGTCAACTCATTACAGACCATCTATCCTTCATCTGATGGACCAGCCCACCTTCCAGGCTGCGTAGGTCATGTGGAGGTGAGCGGCCACGGGGAGAAAGACTGGGGGGAAAAAAATAATACAACGCTTAACACGTACAATTAAATTCATTCATTCGAAAGAAAAAAAGAAACAGGGAACACAGTCCAGGGAAGAGGCAACAATAACCACATTTCAGAACTCTTGATTCCAGTTGTCACCATCATTTTGTCTAACCCGATGTCCTTGTCTGTGCTTGGCATATTGTGGTTTATGATTCAAACCACAACAGCAAAAAAGATGCATTTTTTATGCAAAAATCAAATGTTGAGTTGGCCATCTCAGGCTACGCCAGCGTTATCAGGGTGAGGTGCAGTAAACATCTGCCAGGATTGTGGTTGCTTTTCGTTATTGCTGTAAAACAGTTCATTGAAAACTTTTTAAAAGTTTGGAAATCGGTAAAAATGGTAAAACCCACATCTACCTGTGTGAGCAAACCAGTGCGGAATGTGATAATAATTACACTCTGAATTCAGAGCACTCAAATGTCACCACTTTGTTTTATAGATGTTCATCAAAAGTTGGAATGGGGTACCAGGATTGTGGAGAAAGGGGAGAGGGGGCTTGGGTGGGGGGGTGGATTGAGAACAGGACACTGAACTCATTTAAAAAGCAACTTGACGTTGGAAAGGGAATACGACGGCTGGGTGGGAATTCTGAAAAGATGAAATCGCACGAGACGTCAACCATCATGATATCACTTGGTTAGCAGTAGGCCTCGGTGGTAACGTTCTACCTCTTTCCCCCACATCGAGCAGCAAACAGAGGCGAGAAAACATCGTCGATACAAAACACTACGAGTCCACCGAAGCGACGATCTTCTGATTGGAGCCTGGCTCACGTTATTATACAGCAACTGACGTGCGCAATTTGGCTGCCGCGTTTTGCCCACAAAATATACAGTCGGTTCACTTGACAGCATATTGCGTGAAGAGCTTTGAGACGTCTCGAAGGCGTGATAAGGTGCTGCATCAAATGCAAGGATTATTATTACCTTTTCCCATTGAGCTTCAGACAAAGTTTTTGTGTGTGTGCGTGCGTGTGAAGGCAACATATAGGAATCCCATCACATCGGTATGAAAAGTCAGAATTTTTTTTTTCCCGTATCCTATCAACTAAGTCCATGCAGAATTCAACATCTGTGACATTAGTGTGGATCCTTGAATTTTATATCCTGCAATGGCTTAGCCTGTTCTCTAACACGTTTGGAGTAAGAGGGGGAGGGGGGAATTAGGAGCCTTGTTTAATATGTGCTCGGTGGGCTTCTTTACAAATGCACGTTGTAAATTACAGCTGAAAAGTGTGTCAGGCCTCAGGCATCCCAGACAGTCAAATTATCCTGAGCAGAACTCACTTTGCTGTGTCTGTGTTTCTGGTAACAGCAGTGACTTGCACAGACGTAGGTGTAGGAAGAAAGGTAGTGAGAGTACGCAGAGGTTACTCTCTGATCTTGCCGCAGTGTCACCAGGTTTGCAGTAACGAGCAAACCCAGCAGTGTGTGCACAATGGGTCACTTCAGTATTGTAGCATCGGGGGATTCAATGGGCAGCGGTTTTAGGAATGGCAATTTAATGCGTATGTGAGTGGGTGAGCGCACGACACTAAATGTCAATCACGATTTCCAATTCGAACTGCACGTCCCGAACAGATTTCCATCTGACTAAAGCCTAGGCTTCTGAAAAATGTCAGGAACAGGGAAACCTGCCTAATGAGTGTTAAATCTTATTATACACACGGAACAAAACTATTATTAGCGATGACTGTATGATAGACCCCCACAGGCTTTAGGCAGTCAGTATTGGTGAGTGGGCTCCCAGGAAGGGCTCAAACCGCTGTCGTTCATTCAGCTGTGGATCAGTGATCTTTAGGACAGGAGATTTTTGTCCAGGTTTGTAAGCCAATACTTTGTCAATACAGTCTATTGGTAATTATTTGGGTGCTTTCAACAACAACAACAACTTGCATTTATATAGTGCCCTTCATGCCAAGCACCATCTCGAAGCGCTTAACAGTGGCAAAGCCTGTTGCCGAGTCAAGGGGAGGGGGAAGATGACGGTAGGCACAGTCGAAGTGCAAGGTCTTGAAGCCCAACCTGAAAGTGAGGAGAGAGGGGGCAAGGCGAAGGGATTGAGGGAGAGAGAGTTCCACAGCTTCAGGGTGAAAAATGTAGCGGCTGAAAGCAAACGTTGAATCAAAATAGCCCATAAGCCATGCAAATAAAATCATATTTCTACATCACAGAGGCTGAGTGGCATTCCCCAGATGGTTTATCCTGTATTAGGAAAACACACACAGAAACAGATTGTGGACTGGATATTTACACCACCTGCAGTTCAAATGAATTCGCAGTCCAGGCTGACACTCCAGTGCGGTGTTGGAGAGCACTGTATAGTGCGAGATGCCATCATTCAGGCGAGACATTAAACTCTGCAGTTTATCTCCTGTGCAGCTGGACATTAAAGACTCGACAAGAAACCAAAATCGCAAAATTGATCATTCACTTCACAACTGTTTGTGGGACATCGCTGTATACAAATTGGCTGCCACGTGTGCCCACAAATAACACTCCACGGTAAAATCTTGTGTAGCGTTTTGAGACCTCTCGATGACGTGATAAGGCTTTATATCAAAAGCAAGGATCATTAATATTACTAAATGCATACCCACTACAATATCAGCTGTTAAGGAAATATTACTATATACTCTACCACCAAACTACCGGCAAAATCAGAGACAACTCATAGAGGGAAGCAACTGACAAAAAAAAAGCTTTGAGGGTTTCCCCTTTCCAGCTGTTGATACTTAGCACTACTATTCAGCAATGAATTAGCAGCTAACATACTGCTAACATACAGCTAACATACAGCTAACATACAGATATATTGATATAACAAACTGATGATATTTTTCATACTCTAACGAGGATTTTTTTTATTTGAAAAATATATAGTCAGACAGCATTTGCCACCCATCGCAGGAACCCGGTAGACCGAGCTGAAATGTTTCGCTCAGTTTTCAGGGCAAAATGTAGAAACATTCCAGAGAGGCAAAATTTCTGGTCGGGTTTAAGAATTAACTCACTCCAATCTTTCACACTTGCCATTCTCAAGCCACTTATCACAAGGCTCGAGCCAGACACCCTCAGAATGACAGAACTCTATGGTTGTTTGTGGGCAATGTATTCTAGCCCCTGTGATCCACAGCAAGATTTAACCCGTTCACTTGTTTCCAGGCAAAATGATTATTTTCTCATCACACTCAAATTCTGTGGTCTTCTTCCCTGCCTTGAGGTAAGTGCTTTAGAACGTCAGATAACAGCACGTGTTGCTGCTGGGGGGTGTGTGGGTGGGGAGGGGGAATAAAATGTTTTTAAGCCACTAGTCGTATTCCGATTTCTGTACTGTGTAGCTTCATAAGCAGCAAAGCCATTCGCTTTTCCTGCAGTTAGCTATGAGGTATTGCTTTTGCACTGCATGAATTATACTCTGCAGACTCGACCAATAGAGGTGACCATACATCATCAAATTTTAACGTATTAATTTACCTCCTTTAATGACACTTCAGCACAGTTCCCTTAAGAGCGAGGCAGTCAAAGCATTGCACTTTCTCCTAATTATGCCAGCTTAGCAGCAAGCAGCAGGTGGAAGAAGCCAGAGCTAAACATGGGCAGAAGGATATAGCTGCACACTGGATACAGACCCTCAGTAAAAGAAACAGCATTCATTGTCTATGTACTTCTCTAGACAGTCAGAAGCCAGCAAGGAAAGTCCATGGAGCACAATCATATTTTCACCACTAACATCACTCTGCTCTCCCATGATGGAAACCTGTACGGATGTGGTTTAGGATTCGTGCCTGTCATATACTACAGCTTTCTTCTTTGCTTGGGATTACCAGGTGAGTTTAGCAATTTTTTAACATGTTTTTTAAAAAATCTTTGTAAATGCCCGTGCAAAAGAACCCAAATGTTTCTGAATTCTTCGAGCTGTTTTACCATTTATATTAATTCTCATCTTAACGCACCGAACAAAGAAAGATTGAAATGGTAAAAGATTTCTGAATTTCACCGTCTTCTATCACGACACTTGTGGTTTCTTTATCTAACAGTCTGGGTACTTCCTGAAGTAGCACATTTTATTGTTTGATGTGCACAGGGAGTTGGGGAGGGGAGAAGGGAAAAAATTCCCTCAAGTACCATCAGTTTAACTACATTAGAAAATGGTACATTGATCACCGTACCTAATGCATAGAGACTTGATTTGTTATATATTTATTGATTGATTTATTGTAAAGAACGGAACCAGAGGCATGGAAACAAACATTCTGTAGCACTGGGGTGTTTTAACACGAAAGCTTTCACTACTTTAATGTTCTTTTATATCATCTCATCATCTAGAGATGTGAAAAGCTACAAAACAACAGTTAGCTGGTAGGCAATTATGCTCTAATTGATGTCTGATGATCTGTGTGGGCAGGCAAGGGGATTTAAACTTTGGATTATTGACATCACTACAGCACCACTTCATTTCTAACACATTGGCTCTAAATTAATTTTCAAACAGCCTTGTGTGGGCAGAACGATGCTGAAATGCATTACTATATTTAATGTCAATATTTAATATATGCAGATGTATACAAATTATGGTCTTTGATAAAGCACAATTAGACACGGGTCCGTGATGGATCCTTCTTATTGGGACTGCAGTCTGATAGTTTTTTGGGATGGATAATTTGGGGCAAAGTAATTTGTGGTTCAGGTGCATTCGGACCCCAGCAGAGGAAGGTGTTAAGCATCCACTGTCAACCCAAGCACGGAATAATCACACGCACCCTTGCCCAGTGCAGATTGACAGTCAAGTAAATGGATTCCTTTAACCTTTTCATTGTTGAAAATCAAAAGCTAAAATGTTTGAATTGGTGCAATATTAATGTCACAGTGCCACTGTCTTGATCAAAATAGTGAATCGCGCAACCACATCAGATCTCTGTGACGAGGAGTTGGGGAGAAAAGATGTCTCTGGTTATCAAAACACCGCATTCTTGTAAAAGTTCCAGTTTAAACACCCACAAAAGAAACAAAGTTAAATGAGATCAATGTGCTAGTTTAGTTTTTATTTAAGTGGATGATGGATAGCATTTTACTCCAGCATAAATCACTGCAGGACTTTCCTTCACACACTATTCAAAGGCAGCAATTGTGTCTTGGGACTTACATTTCATTGGAGTGGGCAAAAAAATTTACTTCTGCACTGATGGAAAATTTCAATCGAACTACAGTCACTTACTCAAAGTAACACATCGTCTTATTCAGACAGACGACAAGAATTTTTACACACCTGTTTTTAAACGTATGAATTTCAAGGCATAAGGTTTGACCTCCCATCTACATCTTAATCAGACAGTGGGTGAGCGTCGATCGTGAAGGATTCACCTTAAGATGTATTGGCTCAAGTTACCAAATATTTTGACTCTCTAATTCTTCTAACAATTATACAAGACTTTAAAAAAAAATGATGATAATGACTTAGTTGTTACTGGAATTTAAATGCATGCAATAAGCCACATTTTCAAAGAAGCAAGACTATTTTGAATGGAAGGATCAAAGAGTTTGATTCAGTCAAAAAAAAACGATTAGGAAAAATCCTGTGAAAATAATCTAGACTCTTGTGTGGACAAGTTAATTAGGAAAACACTGCAAATGGTTGCTTGAATTAAAATGGTTTCAAAAGCTAAAATAATAAAGCTACAAATCTTAAGTTTCGATGGCTTCCTAATTGGTCCTAAAATCCCTTTTTTTTTGCCAAATTGAGTATGAAGCTACTGTTTATTCAGTTATCTCTATTTATTTTCAGTAACGAATTCAATGAAGTGAAACATCTAGACACATGAGTGATGTATACTGTTTAAACAATGCTTTGAAAATAATTGCATTTCAAAACACAGCCAGGGCCAAAAGAGACACAGACAGTGTTGCTTTTAAAAAATACATCACGCATTTATATTTTTATTGGTAAAAAATAAATAATTTGAAGGTGCTGAGAAACCAGCAGTCAGTGTTGCTCTGATGGATACAGATTTATCACATACGTGACCAGTACCGCCTTGTGTAGCAAACATAAAAACTACTTCAGTTGCAGCAAATGATCAAAGGTTGCATCAGAAATGCTAAAAATCATCCTCCACCTCGACCACTTGACTGAATCAAACTCTTTGATCCTTCCATTCAAAACAGACTGCTAAGTCGTAGGTGTTACTGGAATGAGAATGAGAAGGGTAATACCTCACTCTCAGCCTCCCTAAAATTGGAGAGGTAGCAAGTGCTGCCCTGAGGTGACTCTGCTCCTCTTCTGTACTCCTAAAATCTTGGCTGCATCATGGTACCCCAGCTGAGCGCAAAAAAAAGTATTGGGCAGTCTTCCATCACAGATTATATGAAACTTTAATCCCACCGAATTGCCTTCTTCTACCCTATTACACTGTGATAATAATCTGTCAGGTTCCAAGCTACAAGTCTTGCCAAAGTGTCAGGTGGAGAGAGGTGTGGGGGGGGGGGGGGGGGGAATTGAGAGAGAGTGTGAGAGAGAGAGAGAAAGAGACAGACAAACAGAGAGACAGAGAGAGGAACAAAGTCATTGATTAATCAAAGATGGGTTTTGCACCATCTGCTTACTTTGTCTCCAAATATTGTACACCAGTTTATTGCACGGGGGAGAGTTGGAAATTTCTGTGGTAAAATTCCTTCGGGTTCTAGATTCACTCTATTAACGTAGCATTTCAGAACATCCGGAATTTGCCAGTCTTCAATCTTGATTCCTGTCTGCTGCAATTTTTAGGAACTACGAAAAACACGCTTCACCGTTAAAGGCGGATTCAACAATTTGCCAAATTCTGCACATTCTGGAATGCTTCGTAAATCTAGACGCAGGTGGAATTTCTTCCGCTTCGTCTGTAAGAGAAGGAGCCTGGGTTTTGTTGGTGGGAGTGTTGGAATGGTTAAAAGTCGCGAGGTTTCCTTTGGATTTCAGGAAATATTTATGCATTTACTATTTTCCGGAGCGACAGTTTGTGGTCAGCGGCAAGACCGAGACCTTCCTGATTAGTTCGCACCAGTGCCTCCACACCTCGGGCGCTGGCAGCATCAGCCTCCACGGCTCCACACTCAACCTCACTAAGCCAGTCAGGAACCTGGGTGTCTTGTTTGACCCTAAACTGTACTTTCTCCCCCACATCCGCGCCACGACCGGCACTGCCTACCACCATCTCCGCAACATTGCCAGACTCCGCCACTGCCTCACCCCTCAGGCTGCCCAAACCCTCACCCAGGCATTCGTCACCTCAAGGCTCGATTACGGGAATTCGCTCCTCATCGGCCTTCCCAACTCTTCCCTTCACAAGCTGCAGGTCTTCCAAAACTCTGCAGCTCATGTACTCTCACGCATCAGGCTCCACGACCCCATCACCCCCACCCTCACCTGACTCCACCTGCTCCCCATCCCCCAGAGGATCAAATTCAAGATCCTCGTCCTCACTTTCAAAGCCATCCATGGCCTTGCCCCCTCCTACCTCTCTGACCTGCTGACTCCCTACCAACCTGCCCGCTCCTTCTGTTCATCGGGCTCCGGTCTGCTCCATGTCTCCCGCCAGACCCGCCCTACCATCGGTGTCCGGGCTTTCAGCCTCTCTGCCCCCACACTCTGGAACTCCATCCCACAGTCCCTTCACCTCGCTTCCTCCCTCGCCTCCTTTAAGGCCGGTCTCAAGACCCTCCTCTTCGATCGTGCCTTCAGTCGCCCTCCCACCCCTACCCCACCCTACCCCATGCTTGGATCCTGAACCCTGACTGTCCAACGCCTTGGGATATCCTCCCAACATGAAAGACACTCTATAAATGTAATTTTGTTGTTGTTGTTGTAGGTTCTCTGTGGCTTTGGAAGTAGGTGGCTCGAGGCTCCAAATGTCTTTTCTCATTCCGTGCTTTCTTATGTTTTATTTATGTTCTTATCCTCCATATCCAAGTCATAATCAATGCTTAACTATAATAAAGAGTTAATTTCTTTCTGTGTCCTGCTGGCTATGTACCTTGCCAAGCACTTTGTCTGATTCCCTATCCCCAGTCCCCTTAATCCTTGATATAGCTCCAGAACAGGCAGACTCATTCAAAGTACAGCGTCTCCAACAATGTAGTGAACCCCAACCTTATATTAAAGTATCAGCCTAAACTGAATTCAAAGCTCTGAAGCAGATGTTGAACCCACAACCTTTTGACTCAGAGGCGAGAGTACTACCAACCGAGCTAAACGGACGCCCAAAATCATTTGAACAGGATTACAACTAAATTCCTCGAATGAAAATAATCCATGCAAATATAAATGAAGTTAATAAAGATTGATCATTAAAATTCGGTAGTTTAACAATTGCATTAAAGGATAGCTTTCTATTAAATCAATTATGTTGCTCAAGCTTTGCCAGTTTGGATTCCCAGTGGTTGGAAAATTGCATTCCAGCATTTACCCTGCGTATTAAATATTGATGATGATACATTAAATCTACTCCATCTCTCCAAATGCAATCTGAATCCGTGCAACTAATCAGCTCAGTAATCCTGGTTACTATCTCTGTGGTTTCTAATGATGGTGAAGGAAGCAGCACATGTTACAAGGAAACCATCTTGTGGGGAGGCTAAATTTCACCCATTTCTGATGGAATGTCTTCACCAGACAGCAACAACAAACAAACAGACAAACAAACAACAAGAAATTACATTTGTAATTACATTGCTCCGTCCACGTCAGGAGGACATCCCAATATTACTAATAATAATCCTTGCATTTGATATAGCGCCTTATCACGTCTTCGGGATGTCTCAAAGCGCTTCACGGACTATACTGTAAAGTGAA